CAACAGAAAAGTTAGGGCTGGATAGATAAATCTGAGGACCATCAGCAGAGATATAATTAATAATTGGCTAGTACAGGAGGCCCAGTGGCTAGAGCACTGAACCTGGAATCAGGAAGACCTGAGTTTAAATCAATCACCAAACACTTACTAGCTGTGTGACCCTGGACAAGTCACTTAACCTTTGCCTCAGTATCATTGTCTGTGAAAGGGGGACAATAATAGTACCTACCTCCTAGGGTTGTTATGAAAATCAAATGAGATAATAATTGTAAAGTGCTTAACATAATGCTAAGCACATAGCAAGGGCTAAATGAATGTTAGCTATTATTATTGTTGTTGTTATTGTTGTTAATTGAGGAGGGAGAGGGACGAGAGAGAGAATGGAGGAGGAGGAGCAGAGGGAAAAGGAAAAAGGGAGAGGGGAAGAAGAAAAGGAGAGGGAGAAAAACAATAGGAAAAAAGAGGGGGAAGGAAACGAGGGAGAGAGGAAGTGGGAAAGAAGAAGAAAGGAGTAGATAAGGAGGACCCTACAGAACAAAAAAATGGCTAATGAGAAGGTTCCTAAGGGAAGCCAGGACATAGTAGCTGACCCTATGGATAGGGAACTGGTTCTGGATTCGGGAGGACCTGAGTTCAAATCTGGCCTCAGACACATAACACTTACTAGCTGTGTGACCCTGGGCAAGTCACTTAACCCCTATTGCCCAACAAAAACAAACAAAAAACCAACATAGTAGCTGACCTTGATTCACTTATTCATTCCACAGGCACTGACTCCTGATAAGTTCCAGACCCCATTAGGTGGAGAACAGAAGGCATATGGCAAGACTGGAAAAAAGGGGGGGGAAAGTTGTTGCAATTAAGGAAAAAAAAAGACTAGGATATGCAAGCTCTATATAGGTCTATAAGATTATCTTGGATTCCCAGTGAAATTCTAGAATTATTAAAAGCTGAACAGTGAACATCAAGAAATGAAGGCAGTGATGACAAAGAGTTTCTGCGAGCACAGCTTATGCCAGCCCAATATTTCCTGTTTTAAGAGGGTTATTAGGCTGATAGACAAGGAGAATGCTATAGCAGAGTCTAGATTTTAGCAAAGGATTTTATAAAAGACTCTCTTGCCATTCTTGTAGTAAAGATCAAGAGGTGAGAGCTCAATGACAGTGTAACAGGAGACTGGCCAATAATCCTAGTCTTTATGGACCTGCTTGAACTCATATATACAATAGTCTATTTAGGTAAAATCAGACCTGGTTGAATGGCAGGACCCAAAGAGTAGCTCTTTATATACAGATCTTTTGCCTAAACTAGTCATGTATCATCGACTGTGAACATCTCTACGTGGGTGTCCAATAGGCCTCTCAAACAGAACTCATTACCTATTCTCTCCCTCCACCCAGCCTTTACCTGCCTCTCCCCTAACCATCCTCCCCAGGCACCAGGTTCATAAGTTCTGAGTCATCTTAGACTCTTCCATAACAGGGCCATCTCAAAAGGGAACGGGCTGCCTCATGAGTAGTGGGTCCCCCTTACAGAACATCTTCAAGCAAAGTCTGGATCACTGTTTCTCAGGGATGTTGTAAAGGAGATTCTTGGTCAGGCATGGGCTGGACTAGATGGCTTCTGAGTCCTTTTCAAGTATGAAATGCTGTGATTCTGTGAAGAGAAGGAAGGGAAGAGGAGGCAGGGAAGGGAAGTAAAAGTGAAAGGAAAATGAAAGTTGAGGGAAAGAGGAGGAAGAAGGAGAGAGGAAGAAAAGAAGAGAGAGAGTGAAGTAAAGGGGAACAAAGGAGAAGGGCAGAAGGTAAAGTGAAGGGAAAAGAGAATGGTAAAGGGAGTAGGAGGTCAAAGGGCTCCCCCCCAAAAAAAAAATTGGCATGACTCCCTGAAGAGGGGCCAAAGATTCTAGAACGGAAGCTCTGTAGTACACTGGTTTGCCTCCAGTCTGACTAGTCCTCCGTCTCCATTATTATTCATTCACATCATGGCCCCTAAGCATGGATGTTTCCCAAAGTTCTGTCCTGAACCTGCTTCACTTTTCCCTCTGTTCTCTCCTTCAGTAACTCCATCAACTGCTGGGCTCTTATCTTCTCCAAGCAAATGATTCCCTGGTCTATATATCAACTCCCAGTCTCTTTTTTGGGTCACCAATTACTACTGGAAATTTCAAACTGGATGTCCCAGAGACATTAAACTCAACATGTCTAAAACAACTCGTTATCTTTTTCCCCTAAACCGTCCCATCTTCCAAATGTCTCTCTCTTTTTTTTTTAGCCAGTTGGGGTTAAGTGACTTGCCCAGGGTCACACAGCTAGTAAGTGTCAAGTATTTGGTCTGAGGCCAGATTTGAACTCAGATACTCCTGACTTCAGGGCTAGTACTCTATCCACTGTACCACCTAGCTGCCCCCTCTGTTTTTTTTTTTAAGGCATCACCATCCTTCCACTGTCTCAGGTTCATTGACATTATTCTGGATTCCTCACTCTTCCTCACCCCACACATCCAATCACTTGCCAAATCTTGCCATTTCAGCATCTCTAAAACCTACCCCTTTTTTTCCACTCACACAACTACCACCTTAGGTCAGGCCCTTATTGCTTCTTGCCCTAAATTATTGTGACAGCCTCCTAATTGGTCTCCCTGCCTCAAGTTTCTCACCACTCCAGTGCATCCTACACATTGCTGCCAAAGTAATTTTCCTTGACCTCCGATGTGATATGTGATTCCCTTACTCAGCCACTCCACTGGCTTCCTTTTGGCTGGGATATAAACTATAAACTCTTCTAATTAGCTCCTGAAGCACGTCACAACCTGGTCTCAACCTCTTTCCAGCCTTGTGAGACTCCCACACTCCAAGACCCAATGAAACTGGCTTTCTTTCTGTTCCTCATTCTCAACACTCCATTCCACTCTCTGCCTTTTCACTGGCGGTCTTCCACACCTGGAGGGCCATCTCTTCTTAGTTCTACTTCATGGAATCCTTCTCTTCCTTATTATTTAGCTCAGACACCATCTTCTGCATGAAGCCATTCCTGATTCCCCCAAATGCCAATGCCTCCTTCCCAAACTATCTTGTATTTAATTACTTTTGCTGCACAGTATATATTTGTATAAGTTCTTGTCTCCTCCATTAGAATGTAAGTACCTTCTGAGTAGATACTGTTTCATTCATTAGACATGTTTCCCCAGCACCTAACACAGTGCCTGGCGTCACAGTAAATGCTTAATAAATACTTGACTGATTCATGGATTGCCAGATCCCTTAGTATACTTAGCAGTCCCTACTTCTTTTCTTTTTCACTCCATCCCACTGGGACAGAGAAAAATTCTTCCTCAGAGCAAAAATGATGCACAAGAATAGTGGCCAACCAACTCCATTCTCCTGAGCCAGGTAAGTGTCAGCAGACTGACAATGTATTACAGAAAACGTGCATGTTCTCGTAAAGTGAAGCCCATTGGAGATGACCCAGGCAATTGTGCAGGCTCAGCTCATCTCAAGCAGGGGGAGGCCACAGGAAACACTCTGAAATTCCAGCAGGAAGTGGGAGGCTTTGGAAGGATAATACTACTGTGCTAGGCTGAGGGGTTTTTTCTCATTTCCTCCTGAGATGGACGCTGGATTGGTACAGGCCTGTTCCTATTTCTGGAATGCACTCCCTACTCGCCTTAACCTTTACAATCCTTTCTTTCTCCAAGGCGTAGCTCAACACCATCACCTGCTGAAGTCTTGCCTAATCCATCCTTACCTCTACTCACCCCTCCCAAAAAAATATTCTTTCTTCCTTCAAATATATCTAAAATATGTCTGGATCTCTCTTTTCCCCATGACACCCATACCTATGGACTTCTCATAATCTACCTCTAATCCCCAGATCAGAGTGTAAATTCCTTGGGGCCAGGGAATGAGTCATCCATCATTTGGCTTTGCAGTCCTGGTGTCTTCCTTATATTGGGTGCTTACTGTTTGAATTAAAAATAAATATATATATTTAATCACAGAAACTGGTCCTAGTTCTGGCTTCCAGGAGCTGTACAGAACAACATTCCTTACCTACAAGACAGCTTTTCATATAAGGTGTCCCAAAAGTCTTGGTGCAGTTTTTGGCTCTTAAACTGTGCCAAGTCTTTCGGAACACCCTAAACAATTAAGATATAATTATACCATATTATTCTATGAAAAGTTTAAAAAATTGAACTAATAAATAAAATTAGAAGCTGATTTTATTTTTTAAAAAACACAATAAAATAAACTGTTGGTTAATTTGATTTAAAAAAAAAACCAAATTGCCAGTATCAAAAATGAAAAGGGTGAATTTACCACCACTTAAGATGAAATTAAACCAATTATTAGTAACTGTTTTGTCCAATTATGTGCCATTAAACAGACAATCTAAATGAAATGGATGAATGTTTACAAAAATATAAATTGCCCAGATTAACAGTAGAGGAAATGGAATACTTAAATAACCCCATCTTAGAAAAAAGAAATTGAACAAGCCATAAATGAGTTCCCTAAGGAAAAAAAAAACAACAAAACTAAAACAAAGGACCAGATGGATTTACAAGCAAATTCTACCAAACATTTAAAGAACAATTAATTCCATTACATGAACTATTTGGGGAAAAAAATAGGTAAAGGAGTACTACCAGAAATTCCTTTTATGACACAAATATGGTTTTGATACCTAAAGCAGGGAAATTAAAAACAGAGAAAGAAAGCTATAGACCAATTTCCCTAATGAATATTGATGCAAAGATTTTAAATAAAGTACTAGCAAGGAGATGACAGTAATCAATCACAAAGATCATACACTATGACCAGCTGGGATTCATACAGGAATGCAGGGCTGGTTCAGTATTAGATAAAACTATCAGCACAGTTGACCATATCAATAACAAAACCAAGAGAAATCATATAATTATCTCAATAGATGCTGAAAAAGCCTTTAACAAAACACAACACCTATTCCTATTAAAAACACTCGAAAGCATAAGAATAATTGGTGCTTTTTAAAATTTATTCTATGATCAAGACAACATTAGGACTCCCTTTAGACTTCTTTTTTCCAAAGCAAATAGAAAATGGAAAATTTCTGAAACAGCAACTGCAACTAAAAGTTAAACCTTCCCAAACCTAACTCTGGCTGGGGTCCCCATCTTTAGAGAATCAGGCCAATACAACTGATGTTCTAAGTTCCCCAGTGTCTTGGAGGAGGGTTGGATAGCAAATACAATAAAGAGTAGTGGAAGGCTGCATGTCAAATTATGCTTAGGCTTGGATGGAGTTATTAAATATGAGCTGGCATTTGCTTTACAGGCATACAAAGCATTTTTCCTAAGTTATCACATTTGAGCCTCATAACTACCCTGTGAAGTCGGCAGGGAAGGGATGATTATTCCTGTTTTGCAAATGATGAAGCAGGCTCAGCAAGGTTAAGTGATGTGTCCAGAGTCATTTTGTGCAAGGCCTATGCTTGCAGCTAAGGGCCTACTCAAAGGTTGGGATCTGAACCCAGGTAGTCTGACTCTAAATCCAGTGCTCTTTGTATCACAACACAACTACATCTAAGAAAGATTCTGAACTATGAATGGAGCACCTAGGTTGCAAGTGCTGCTATGGGGTTACAAGATAAGCAGATTCAATCCCAGTTCAGTGGCATCTTTGAACTTAGCTTTTTGGACTGTTTTTGATATAGAGGAGCTGAAAAGAGGAGTAAGATTATCCATCTTGCTGATTCCCCTCTCTCCCCCTCAGAAGGGAGTGTACTGGGCAGAGTGGAGTAGCTTCCTTCTCGCCTTCCTCCGTGACCCTTCAGAAGACAACGGGAACCAAAGCAAAGGCCTGATCCTTTCCCCCAAGAACTGATGAGGCTCAACCTCTGCCTATGTCCATTGACCTGGTGGGTGATTTCTTCTCCTCACGTTAGGAGGAAGCAGTGCCTAGGGGGAAGAAGCCAATTCTCTTCCTCATTCACAGGTGGCTGGTTCCTTAAAAAATGATTTGTTCCTCAGTTGCTTGCCCTTAGTTATTGTGAATGTATTTCTGCCCACCCCCCCCCATAAAAAAGAAGAAAAAAATCAGGCAAGCAACCATCAAATCTTCATCTGGTATAATGAATGATGGCAGCAGGTAGAGATTTTGGTCCCTAGAAGGAAACAGAAGACATGTCCATTCAGAGTGACACTCATCTCTGATGACAGACTCCAAAGGAAGAGAGGAATACTGATACCATATCCCTAGGCACAAGTTTTGATAAACAAGAGAGCTAATAAGCAGAATTTGTATCTTTGTGTGCATATATACATATATGTATATACACATATACATGTATATGTGTACACACACACATACACACACACACGTATATATGGTATCGTGAACATCTTTGCTGTTGTTCAGTTGTGACCCCATTTGGGGTTTTCCTGGCAAAGATACTGGGGTGGTTTGCCATTTCCTTCTCCAACTCATTTTACAGATGAGGAAACTGAGGCAAACCAAAGTGAAGTGATTTGCCGAGGGTCACACAGCTAGGAAGTATGTGAGGCCACATCTGAACTCAGAAAGAGGAGTCTGAATCCAGGCCAGGTACTCTATGCACTATGGCACCCCCTAGATGTTCCATCTTAGTGCGTGTTCTTAGTGAATATCTTAGTGCAGTTTTAAATTTTAATAGCTTAAAGCTGAATGAGCTAAGACAGTTGGAACACCTTGTATGTATGTGTGCGTATTTCTATATAGAGATGTATAGCTGGTTGTGTGTATACGGACAGGTAGCACCGTGCTTGAGCAACGTTTGACCTGCAGTAAGAAAGATCTGAGTTACGAATCTTGTCTCAAAACACTAGCTGTGTGACCTTGGGCAAGTCACTTCACCTTGATCTGCCTTAGTTTCCCCATCTGTTAAATGGGGATGATAACAATAACTACCTTCCAGGGTTATTGTGAGGACAAAGTGAGATAACATTTGAAAAGCACTTTGTAAACCTTAAGGCAAGTGATAGCTTTTATTATCATAATGATATATACATACTCCTAAGATCTGAGACAAGCCCTTGATATTAAGGCAAGCACTAGCTTCATGAAGGGGAGATGGGGCTACAATTAAGGCACCCACACCTTAAACCTACTATGAGGGAAAAACAAAACCTTACACAATCATTGCATTTGAAGCCTTAACCTGCTGCTTCTAAATGAGTCATGTATTTGCAAATGTCAACAGCTACTGAGATTTTCATAAAGATTCTGTTTCATGTAACAATCTCTTGGGAGATCCTCATAATTGAACACAGGGACCCCAGTGATATGCACACAAGAATGCCTTGGGATGATAACCCCAACCCGTGGGAAGTGAGTCTTTGCCCACGATTTCTAGTGAGGGGAAGCCTCTGACCTTCAGAGGCAGCATCTCCCACTTGGGTATAGTTCTAATCGTCCAAGAAGCTTTTCTTACGTGCAGCATGCCTGCTGCTTCAGAACTTTCGGCCATTATTCCTAATGCTGGCCCAGGGAACAAGCAGATTAAGTCGTAGTGGACAGAGTGGCATACTTGGAATCCAGAAGACCAGAGCTGAAATCCCACCTCTGATATATTTAGCTGTATGACCCTAGGCAAGTTACTTAACTTTTCTAGGCCTCAGTATCCTCTTACATAACTGGGGATAAGAAGACTAGAGAAACTTGCTTCACCAGATTGTTATGAAACTCAAAAGAGATTATTTTACATATATGTATACAGGTTAATTACTCTGACAACTTTAAAGTATTACATCAGCAATCATCGCACAAGAGAGCCTTTCTTCCATTTTAGCCAGTCAGTTAACAATTATCTATAAATCACCTACTATGTGCCAGGCACTGTGGTAAGTGCTGGAAATAGAAAGAAATGCAAAAAACAGTCCTGATCTCAAGGAGCTCACATTCTAATAGGGGAGAAAACATATAAACAATTATGTAAAAAGAAGATATCATTAGGATAAATGGGAGATCATCTAAGAGGAGAGGAACATTAAGGGGTATTGTGAAGGCTTCTTATAGAAAGTGAGATTTTAGCTGGGACTTGAAAGAAATCAAAGAACCCAGGAGGTAGAGAGTTCCAGGGATAGGGGAGAGCTGGGGGAAATGCCTGGAGCTGGGAGGTGAGTATCTCCTATGAGGAACAGTAAAGAGGCTAGTGTCACTGGATCTGAATACGTGGAGTGAGGAAGGTGTGAGAAGACTAGAAGGCCAGGTTGTAAAGGGTTTTGAAGGCCAAACAGATCTTATAATTGTTCCTGGAGGTAACTGAGTTTACTGAATGGTCTGATCTGCTCTTCAGGATGCTTAATTTGATCTGTGTGTGGAGGGTGGATTAGAGTTCGGAAGACACTAACCACGATACTATTGCAATAGTCCAAGCAACATTATCATCAGCAGCAGCAACATTTACATAGGTGCCACTGTGCTAATTGCTTTGTAATTATTTCTTAGGATCCTCACAACCACCCTGGCAGGTAGGTGCTACTATGATCCTCATTTTATAGTTGAGGAAACTGAGGCAAATAGAAGTAAAGTGACCTGCCCAGGGTCACAGAGCTAGAAAGCATCTGAGGCTGGATTTGAACTCAAGTCTTCCTGGTTCCAAGTCCCACATTCTATCCACTATGTCACCTACCTGCCCCTAAGGGCACCACCAGGGTGGTTGCAGTTTCTGAGGCGAGAAAGGGGCATATATAAATGATGTTACAGGCCTCGGCAACAGATTGTTATGAGTACTGAGAAGGTGAGGAGTCAGAGATGTTGCCTAGCTTAAGAGACTGGAGGAAGGCAGTGCTTTCAATAGTAATAGGGAACTTCACACGCTGAGAGTGTTTGGGGAGAAAGATGATTTCAGTTTTAGACATGCTTAATGTAAGATGTCTGTGGTTCAAGAAATACAACAGACAGGAGATTAGGATGAGACAAATGATCTGAGAATCATCAGAACAGAGATGACCACTGTATCCACGAGAGCACCAAATGAAACAGCCATCAAAGGAGAAGAAGACCCAGAACGGAGAGAACCCTGGGTGGAGGGGGGCACCCACAGGTAGCGAATGTGACCTACCCAAAGAAAGATCCTGCAAAGGAGACCCAAGGAGCAGTCACACGGGTAGGAAGAGAACCAGGAGAACGAGAAGAAAGTATCAAGGAGAAGAGTTTGATCTTAGGGTCTGAGGCTGCTGAGAATTCAAGAGGGATGACGACTGAGAAAAGGCCATGGGATTTGGCAATTATCACTGAGGCCAAAACAATATAATAAGTGACAACCCTGCCCAAAATAATTATTAATTTACTTATTCAGTGCTATACCACTCAAATTATTAAAGATTTACTTTAGAGCTAGTAAAAACAACAATAAAATTTATCAGGAGGAACAAAAGGTCAAGAATATACCCCACTTCTCATTCCTCCTTTTTCGCTTTGGCAACAGATGTTTTGCTTGAAAAACTGAGGCCAGGTGGGCGTCCCAGTGGAGAGACAGCACTGAAAGGGCGAATCAGGAAGACCTGAATTTGAATCTTGCCTCAAACACCTCCAAGCTGTCTGACTCGGATTAAGTCACTTTCCTGCCTCTGGGGCTTCACTTTGTTCGTCTGTAAAATGGGGGGGACTCGAACTCGACGACCTCTGAGGTCCTTTCCAACCCGAGATCTCCGAAAGATCACGTGAGATGCAGCGCCCACCTACTGCGCGTGCGCAACTAGGGTTAGTAGCGCTGAACCAGCCTAGCGTCACGCCCACCCGGAAGGCTTACAGGGTTAAACAAGGAGTCGGCTCACTGGGCCTGCGCCCTTTCCCCAGGAGCGGCCTCAGCCTTGCATCTATTGGGCAGCAGCATGCCGTCACGTGACCCTCCTACGTCGCTCGAAATCGGCTCCTCCGCCAGGGTTCGGTTGCCCTGAAGGATGGCCTCTCCTCCCCACCCCCCCTGGCCCTTCCCTCTCCTGCTAGTTGCGGGGGCCTCAGAGATGCTCTCCAGTGCGGCGTCGCCCATTCTTCCCCCAGAAATGAGGCTCCCGAGACCAGCACCTAAATGTGTGGCTCATCAGGGCCTCGGGCCGCAGAGCGTTTCCTTCCGCCGAAGGTACCTAGTGCGGCAAGAGGCGAGAAGCGAGGGGGCGGGGCGGGATCCCTGGAGATCGCGCGAGAACTGGCCGTCCCGGTTTCCGTCGCGCGGGCCGTGCGCCCTAGGGCCACCGACACCGTGGGTGGGGCGGGCGGCCAGCAGTCCTAAAGTGAAGGAATGGGAAGACCATCTGGGTGGTGCCCACTCAGCCGGCTAGCACTTATTAAGCACCTACTGTGTGCCCAGTTGGGGATGCCGTCATCTCAGAGTAGGTGAAGGGAGGAGGGGGAAGAGAAGGAAGTGAGACTTACAAAGCGCTTAACGTGTGCCATGTGCTTTACAAATATTCTCTTATTAGAGCCTCGAAACACCCCGCAGAGTTTTTAATCCCTATTTTATGGTTGGGGAAACCGAAGCAGACAGAGGTTAAGTTACTCACCCTGGGTCACACAGCTAGTAAGTATCTGAGGCCGGATTTGAACCCAGGTCTTTCTGACTCCAGGGTGGGTGCTCTAATCACTGCACCTTTAAAGTATTGGTGGGAGAAGAAGACTGCTAAATTATGAAGGTTATTGAACACCAAACCGGAGTTTATGTTTGCTACTGGAGATAATAGGGAATCACTGTAGTTTATTGAGGAGGGGTGGGGTGGTCCGTGTGACATGGCCAGACCTGCTCTTTAGGAGGATCACTTGGAGTGGAGGATGGATTGCGTCAGGGCAAAACCTGGGGGAGGCAGACTCACCTGCAGGCTATTGCAGTGGTCCAAGGGTAAAGGAGAGAAGGAAAACATGTACTAGATATGTTAATGAAGGCAAAATCTATGGGACTTTGTAACTGATAGGTTGGAGGTGGGGAGAGAAGGAGAGTGAGGAATCGAAGATGATGGAGGCAGCTGGGTGTATAGAAAACCCGGGGCCTGGAATCAGGAAGACCTGAGTTCAAATCTGGCCTCAGATAGATACTAGCTATGTGACCCAGGGCGAGTAACTTAACCTTTGTTTGCCTTAGTCCACTAGAGAAGAAAAAGCGAACCACTCCAGTGTCTTAGCCAAGAAAACCCCATGGACGGTATTGGTGTCCTATGGGGTCATGAAGAATCTGACTCAACTGAATGAATGAAGAACATTTGATGATGACACCGAGGTTTCAACCTTAGGTGACTGGGAAGGTGGTCATCCAGGACTAAGGAGGTAATGATCCTGCTGTCCAGATCTGCCCTGATCAGACCACTTCTGGGGCACTGTTCGCAGGTTAGGAAGAACAAAAATCAGCTGGAGAATACCCATATGAAGGCACTTAGGATGGGGAATGAAGGGGACTGCTGTTCAGGGATTAGTGGAAAAACTTGAGAAGATTGAGGGGGAGACAAATACAAATATTTGAAGGACTTTTATGAAAGTGGAGGCCAGATTGGGACAAGTTTAGACTCCTCTGGGCTATCTCCTCATCCTGCTGCTCCTGCTGTGGAACAAGAAGAGGAAAATGAGCATTGTGAATTTTGGAAAAATCACTTCTTCCCCATTTAAAGAAACCTTCCAGGACAAAGAAACAGAAATGTCAATAGAAAGCCTTGGGATGTATTTTATTCTTCTGTGCTGGACACAACAGGATAAGTCAGATGATCTTGAAGGATTCCTTCAAGGTGCCTCTCAAATGCTTCTTCATGGAGCCTTCCTTATTTTCTCCCCCAAATCCGTTTTCTCTGATCAGGAAAAACATTTTGTTAAATACCTTTCTAAGGTACTTAACTGTTACCGTTATCATATATTATGGTTATTAACAGCTGCTCAGCCAGGGCTCCTTACTCAGAGAGCATGTGCAGTTCTGGGGAACAGGCAAGAAAACAAGAATGAAGGTGGCGGGGTGATGGGACCTGGACCCCTAAAAGGAAAAGACCATGTCTTTGAAAACAACCCAGTCCCTGAATTTTCCCATATATTTCAGTAGCCCAGATCACTGGGACCTCTGCCCCAAGGCATCTGGCCCACCCCAGCCCGCCTAGATCACTTAATTAACTCACTTTCCAGTCCTTTAACTGTCCTCTTGGCCCACCACAGACTACTTTATTCCTTTCACCATTGCACATGGCCCACCCCAGATTATTTACCACTTCTTAATCCCATCCAGATCTTTTCACTGTCCTTTTTTGTGTATAAGTATCAGTCTCACCCCAATTAAGTTGCAGATTCCCTCAGAATCTTGCCCACACTATTGGTGTTACAATAAACCTTGCCACTTTGACTGGACAGCTATTTGAGTGTATAAATTGTTTCCGAGCAGACGCTGCCCTGTATCCTGGCGTTTTGGGGTTCCCAGCAACCCCAAACTGTATCAGAAGGACCCTCCATGCTCCTCAGTTTGGTGCATGGCCAAGCATTCTGTAACTGTCACCAGCCAGGACATTCAGAAAGCCCTAACAAATGATGCAAGTCTTTTGTTTCCTGGCTTTCCTGCATGGCTACTATTAGATTGAGAGGAACATATTGTAAAGCCCTGAAGGGAGTGAGTCCCCGGGCCTCACCTGGGGCTGACATATGGCCTATAATATGTGACATAGGGTTCTTTTGTTGTTTGTTGTTCAGTTGTTTTTTCAGTTTTGTCTGACTCTTTGTGACCCTGCTTAGGGTTTTCTTGGCAAAGATACCGGAGGGGTTTGCCATTTCCTCTCCGGCTCATTTTACAGATGAGGAAACTGAGGCAAACAGGATGAAGTGACTTGCCCAGGGTTACACAGCTAGTAAGTGTCTGAGGACAAATTTGAATGAAGGTCTTCCTGACTCCAGGACCTTCGCTCTATCCAATGGGCCACCTAGTATCCTTCCCCTTCAGTCTTCCTACGGAGCCATCCTATATAACATATTTTTTTGAAGGAAAAGGAATGAGAAAAATCAGCAAAATCAGTGATTTAAAAGAGTGAAATACATGCCCTAGGCCACACCCATGTCCCTCCCCACCTCTGCAAAGGTGTAGGGTAGGGATGGCTTCTCTTTTCTTTGGGGCTTGTTCTTTGTAATTTTGCAACAATCACTTGGATTGTGGTTGTCCTCTCCATTACATCGTTGTAGTCATCCTCTGTGGTGTTTTCTTGGCCCTGCCTACCTCACTCTGTATGAGATCATGTAGATCTTCCTTTGATTCCCTGCAGCCGTCCTATTCATCATTTCTTAGAGCACAGTGAGAATTCCAGTATGTTTGTGTACCGTAATTTGTTGAATTGAAGTAGCAGCTCACATTTATATAAAGGGATAGGATTAATAGGATTACAAACAACAACCTTAGATGGTAGGTAGGACCAGTATTAGTATTCCATTTGACAGGTAAGGAACCTTGAGCTGACTTTTAAGTGACTTGACGGTGGTGCTACCAAGTGGCAAAACTGGAAGTTGAATCTGAGTCTTCTGACTCTGGGCCCAGTGCTCTTTACTCTGTAAATAATAACTTACATTTGCGCTATACTTGAAGTATCCTACTTTGCAAGCCTTACAAAGTGGGTTTAAATTATCTCATCTTAATAACTGGTAATTAAATTATCTTACATTATGTCATCAGATTGTCATAATAGTCTTCTCTCCGTCAGGTTAGGTAGGACAAGTATTTATCAGGAAACTGAAGTAGAAATAAGAAAAGAAGTGATGCTCTGAGGATTTCTTATGGCTTGACTGTAGCTCTTTCCTCAGCATAACATCCTAACCATAAAGCCTGTCAAACCCATAGGAAATGTGGCGCCATAATTCACCATACCCTCAGGAGGAGAGAGTCCTCTATCCTTATCCTAACTAAAACTATTAATGTTTAATCTACTATATTTTTGGACATGGCCAACATGGATTGATTTCATTAACTGTGCTTATTGATGACAAGACAAAGTTTTTGGGTCGACGGGGAAAGGGAAGAGAAGAAGGATAATGATAGAAAAAAGGAATGCTAAGAGCATTGATAAAGTATCTTTTAAAGTGCACTGAACAGAGTAAAGTTCAGAGGAATACACAGCTGTGGAACTAACGTGCTAACTCAATTGTACATGCAAGACACATGTATTATGAAATATGTATGTCTATGTGAGTAGTTGAAATGTATAGACAACATGGATTGTGTAAATGTAAAGACATGTAGCTCACAGATGACAATGATAGATAACTCTGGAATCTGGTCCATCTTTCTCTAAGAAGGAATGTGATTCCACCTTGAGGGGCACAGGAGAAGGGCGAGAGCTATACCTACCTCCAAGAGGTATATTGGGCTAGATTTATGTCTTTGTGCCCTACTCAAATATCACTAGTCCATGGGTATGATTTTTGAGGGGAGTTTAAAAGGAAAGCCACTTCTCTAGTTTCTCTTAAGGGGAAGGATAATTCCAAACGTAGGCCTATAGGTATGGCCTTTTTACACCAAAAGATAGTTACATAAAAGGTCCATTAAAAACATCTAATGGTAGGTTAACGCATTTATCCGAGCAAACAGTGATCAGAAATCAGAGCGATTATAAAAATTAGAATATTCCAGAAAATGCACAAGAATGCATGAGTTTGGGGCAGCTAGGTGGTGCAGTGGATAGAACACCGACTTGAGTCAGGAGGACCTGAGTTCAAGTCCAGCCTCAGACACATAATGCTTACTGGC